CTCTAAGATTTATTAATGCAGCATCTATAAAGCATGTGAAGTAAATGCTCCTTATTCATAGCTCTGCAGTGTATTAAAATTATAATTAGTGCTGGGAAACTTAGTACTTATTGTTAGTCAATTTCTTCCACATAGATCACTGACTTAAGATTGTATATTCCCAGAACAATGAGAAAGTTGGCTCCTGGAGAGTAAATCAATGCTATAGCACAAAGTTAGGTCATTTAACCAGAGAAAATGAGGCAAATTGAGTAGTTTTTTTTTCTTTTGACTATTATTTAACCAATAACAGTCAGAAAGAAAAAAAACATCACCCAGTGACTCAGGGAGTCAAACTTATGTATCCCCAACATGTAGTCTATTCCAGAAGCGAAACATTGCTCAGATCGGTAAAGGATTACTGCAGGAAGGGTCATTGTGTTCCTAGTGATTTGCAAGTGTTTGTTTAACAGATTGTCACTCTTTCTATATAAGTATTTAAAACAACAAGAGCGACACAACCAAGTATTTTGTTGAGCTTAGGAGAAAAAAAGAATTTTAAATTTGTTAAGCACTTTTTAAAGAAAATTAAAGAAGTACATCATACATACTCAAAATATATGGATTTCTTACATGCGACCTCTGGAGAATTTTTAGTAGACACTTAATTCAAACAAATTCGGTTGCAGGCCCATGTATCTCCAGAAGCTCTAAACTGCAGATAAGAGAGGCAGCAAGTGTAGCCTAAAATTCCTTCAGATCCTTGCACTAATTGGCTTTTTATCATCAATAGTTGCAAATAGATGTGCAGAGCATGGATGCTACCCTTGTGCAGAAGAAGTAATGCCAACCAAAGCCTTCAACTGGAGCCTTCCTGAGGATGCTGCAGAGAGAGCACCTCAGGATGCCTGTGATACAAGGAGCAAATAGCAACAGGGTAGATGGGCAGATGACATTCAGGACACAGTTCCATTTTATTTACAGAAATTTTTATGAAAACAAATTCTCAGGAAGTACTGGAAAACCAATACCTTGAAAAATTACAAGAGGAGACTCAGGAGCAGCAAGACCAGAGCCATAGGTTAGCAATTTTTTTTTTTTTTTTTTTTTTTTTTGGTTTTGCAGCTGGCCTGGGGAGAAAAGGTTGGGCACCAAGAAGGTGAATCTTTATAGTACCAAATAAAGAGCCAAGCCACGCCCTAGAGGAAAAAGAATAAGCATGTATCTCTAAGTAATTTTTAACACACAATAGGAAATGTCAGTGTTATAAAGATAGTTTCTGTCTTCCAGCATCTTCCAGGTCTCTGTATTAGAGTTTCATGGACACAACTATGGATGGCTGAAGAGGAAGTGTGACAATGTTGACACAGTGGAGAAGTATTTAGTCACCACATTGTGAATGCTAGGGTTACTGAGGACTGTACCTGTGGCTGAAGAGAATCAACCCAGAGCCAAAATACTTGAGGAAGTAGAACACTATTCCTTGTTCATTGATACCTTTCCTATTCCTCTTCATTTCAGCCTCTGATTCCTTTTGATGTCTTTTTAAATCATCCCTATACAAATCCTGCTGGTGAAATAAATCTTGAATGGAGCCAAAAGTATTGTGTACCTTTAAAAATATCCATTTGTGAGAGACCAACCTTGCATGTGACCGAGTCACTCCCCAGCTGGGTGATGGAGGCTTCCTAGATGCCCCACCCTTCTTGGGTTCAAAGGACCTTGTCCTGCATGGGTGTGTCTTGCTGTAGCCCCAGAGGTGGAGCTATGCTGCCTGTCCCTTTGTAATATCACCCCTTGCCCTGTTTGGGATAGAATGTTCCATGGAAACACCTTTTGTGTGTCCCCTTATCTTACTGTGCCCTTGGGTATGGCCTACTTAATGTCAGTCAACCTGCTGACAGCAGACATCATGAAGCTAGACGCAGCCCCCTGAAACCTGACCCCTTGCCTCATTTGAATAGCTTCTCCTCAATAAAAGAGGTCAGCACGTGGGGCCTTGTGCTCTCTCTCTCTCTTGTCTGTCTCTCTTTCTGCAGACCCTTAAGGTCAGAGGAGCTGTCACAGCAACCTCAAAGAAAAAGGTATTTCTGTCTCTTGTGTGGTTGTTTCACGTAGCCCAGTTAGCCCAGTTCCCCTGGAGTAACCCCTGAGCATTTTAGTTGCGAACAGAAACCCAGCATTCATTAATTCTTAATTTATAACTGAAATTATAAACTCCAATATAAACACAAAATTGTTCATTTATATATAAGAATTTCTTTGCTGTTCAAATTTATGAAAGAACAAATGTTGAATAATTATGTTTTTAAAATTTCAACACATATTTCAATACATCTATGAAATATGTGCTGAAATTTCTGCTTCCTAGAGATAAGTTTGCAGCACATTTTAAAAAAGGAAAAAGGTGGTTGGTACTGATTCTTTGCACATGCCTCAGCCACTGGCCCAGGGCTGGGTGGTGCTGAATGAAGCTGGTATGTTTGTAAGCTGGTGGTGTTGTCAGCAGAAGCAGAGGGCTTCTTTAACAGGGAGCCACCATGAGTAGTGCTGCTGTGCATTGGGGAGAAGAGGAGTCCCATTCCAGATTCTCAGTTGTGGCCTAATGGTGACAGCTGCTGGGTTTGAAAGGACATGCTGAAAAGGACAAGCATCTTTTTAACTGATTTGATATCACCTCTATTTTACCTCTCGCCTTGCTTCTCTGTGGAGGGGGAAGTCCCCCTTCCTACCTGTAAGCCATCCACTTTATAGTCACCCTCACTCTCACCTAGACTGGGGATTGCCAGTGTCTTTAGCATCAAGGTGAGGACCTTAGAGTTGGGGTGGCCTCCTTCTCTATGGCTGAGTTACGGTGGCCCTGAGGAGGTGGTGCTGGAGGACTGAGATATGTTTGGTTGAAGAGTTAGGAGCCCAAATTCACCTGCAGCAGGAAGGAGGTTAATCTCCATAGTTTCCAAATAAAGAGCCAAGCCATTTAGTAGAAGAAAAGGCACAAACAAACATGTGTCCCTAAGAATTTTTAACACACAATAGGAAGTATCGATGTTACCTTAATGAAAAAAGGAAAAGAAATCATATTTTGAACAATAACTTTTTTTCATGGCATTTTATGATCTCAAGCAGATTTTAGGTTCAGTGTATAAATTAGTCTGATGATTATTTTGGTGACAATTGTATTTTGAATTCTATTTCCCAATAAATTCTATAATTGGAATCTTCAAGTAAAATCTGTAAGTATCATGCCTGAGTGAGTAAAGACTCTTTGTTTATATTCTAATAAAAGAAAAAAAAACAAGGTAACTTAAGTCTCAATATTAAAATTTTTTTAAACATTCAGAAGTCCATTAAAAAGTATGCTGTTGCAGAGTTAAAATTGTGATCATTTCTAAAATAGTCTATATTTTACATAGAAGGGAGTAAAGGAATGATATGGGAAGGCAGGCAGTGGGGGGCCAAATAGGTCTCACCTTTAGTATACTTGTCTTTCAGATGGAACCCCAGTGAGGCGGTAGGTTAGAAGAACCAATGAAATACACACTTACTTCACTTACTGTGAAGCTTCCCTGCCTGATACTCAAAAGGGTACTTGTGGATTGGGGGGGAACTGCATTGGTTCTCAATATCACTGCAACTGTGATGCTGACTGGAATGAATGGTGATTTCCACATGCTTTCTCTGTGCAAATTTCGATGTTTTATTGCTTAAACTATGTGCCTTAGGCAGATATTAGACAAGATAGTACAGTAAGAAGAATAAAGAATTCTCCAAGAAGTTAAAGAATGAGCTTTTTTGTATATGTTGTCGTTTATCTGAGGCCTAAAATATCAAGATGGTTATTTCAATTTACCTATGAACAATTATGTCTATTTTATTTTTCTATTTAAACAAAATCAAATACCAGTAGAAATGAAATGTCAGCCTTCTTAAAGTTAAACTGAGTGACCATGGCTGATCTTGAGTTGTTTTTTAACCCCATAAATCCTTAAGTGACCACATGAGGGAAACTAGAAAAGTCCTTGGGTCCAGAAAAGGGACACATAGAACTAAAAATTCTCCCTACAGTTGTAGGTTTCAAAAGGCTGCAAACCCAATGAAAAGGTGAACAAGGACAAATCTTCTAGTTAGTACATGAGATAGAAAAAATTAAGTCTTAAACCTCATGTCTATCAATGTGCCCTTACATAGATTTTTAATCAAATTAGCAATACATAAATGGTCTTAGAATTAAATTACCATGGCCACAGGTTGGTAGCACCAACAGCTTGTCATAGAATTACAAGATATTCTTACTGAGGGTCTGCCCTCCTCCTTAGCACAGCATCACAGGGTTCTCACAGATAAAATGCCTCCAAGTATAAGCTCACACTCCAGTATTATAAAACACAAAAGAAAGTGGGAGAGTAGAGAAACCACAAAGGGGAGACTGGAAACTTATTCTGGTAGCAGGAATCTTTTCTGTGCTCCTTCCTAGTTTCTCATTTTAGGCTTGTGACTCCATCAGTTCTCTCCTGTCTTTCCTGCACCTGGTTTGTTTGTGGGAATTGCTAACAGCTGGCTTGCTGCATCCTCAGTACTTGTTGGCAAGCCTGGTTTTGCCCAAATGGGTCTTCATATCACTAGGGCTTGTGCTGGTAGACTGAATGCAAAGTTGAACACCTGTCTAGATAACACTACTTTGCAGCACATGATGGTCCTTGATGGCCGTCAAATGCCAGATGTGACCAGTGGTACTCAGATGCTGTTAAATTGTGACCTGATAGGGGTCTGAAGAGGTCCCTCAGAAGAAGGGGACCTCAACCCAACCCTGATAGGTTCTTTGTTTATACCAGAGAAAAAAATTTCAGGATGTGTCAGAAAGAGTCATAAACAGAAATTATTTATTTGGGAAAGCAAGGAATACACACTTCTGCCGAAGTCTGGCTGGCCACAAATCACGAGCCACTCAAGCAGGAACAAACTTTATTTCCAAACTCCACCAGCACACTCCCTGGGAACTCTCCCAAACGCCACCCACCCGGCTCCTCCAGGAACACACCCCACACCAACCGGAACTCCCACCACCGGAACTTCACCAACCAACGTGAACTCTTCAGGAGTCCCTGGGAGAGCTCAACCGGAACTCCGCGAGAACTCAAAAGTTATCATCTTAATGGCTTGCTGGCGTCCCCCCTCAACCACTACTTCTGGCAAAAATGCCATGCGTCATCCCAACTGGGCTGTGGCCCTCAACACACTTCCAGGAACAGAGAATGTGGGCCATCTCAGGAATGGACATGCTTTTGGGTCTTTTTTTAAAGGAGACTCTGTAAACAGTAAATGTGAGAAGTAGATGGGAGTGGTCCAGCCTGGTGAGCTCAAGGTTCTTAATCATGCAGAACAGGGTGCTTCACTATGGTCTAGTTGTCATGATCTTTAGATTGACAATATTTAGTCATAGATAATGTTTGGAACATACTCATATCATAGGTCTCTACAATTTTTTCTCTTGGCTTTATTTAGTCTAAAGAAAATATATTGTGTAACCTAGCAGTGCACATAGGCAGTAGTTATCTGGACATACAATACTCCAAGATGTTAGGAACTTTAAACAAATTTATGTCCAGAGGAAAACAAACTTGGCAGAAATGCTGACGGCAGCCAATCAGATGATTTCTGTTATGGCACTTCCTTTTCTCTGGTGATGAGTGTAATCTGCAGAGGTGGCAGGGTTAATCGTCTTGGGTCCCAAGTACAACCTTGTGCTAGAACCTTTTTTTCTTTGTCTTTCTTTAGGCAAGCTTTGCTAAATTAAGTTTTCTCAGTTTCTCTTAAAACAATTCCCATCTAGGTACCAGCTGTGAGAACCAGCCTGTGTTTCTTCTGGCATTTGGGAGAACTCAGACACTATTTTCTGCCCATCTTTGAGCCATCTGGGAGTAGAGAGCTGTAGAACCCAGAAACAAGAAGAGGCTGCCTTTGGAATAACTGCTTTCCACCACAGGGTCCAAAGTTAGACCACAGCTTGAGAGCCCTGGGGTGGGGAAAGAGAGGGTGACAGCAAGGGTACTACTTGATGAGGTGGTCCAGGTGGAAAACTGTGAGGACCAGCAAGAGGAATTACAAGAGCGAGGCCCAGGAAACCCCAGGGAATGCCCATGAAGGAGTCCCCTCTGAACGCATGTCTGGTTCAGATAGAATCCTTGTGGGCACAGGGAAGAGCAGCACCCATCAAGTGATATTTTCTTGCTCTTTTACTCCAGGGTAGATGCTGGACTTGATGTGGTCAGAGACAAGATCACTAGGCCTGTCTGTCAAAAGAGGTAGATGTACCAAATGTGAAGGGAGAAGTCTATATGCAGTTTGCTGGACTGGCTCTGCAGGATTCCAGTAAGTCTGGTGTTCCTGAGAAAGAAACTCTGTGTTTCAATGCAGTGTCCTGTTTTGACTATGAACCTGGGACTGGCAGAGTAATTACTGCAACCAGACCTCATTCTGCCCCTGGAGAGAACCAGTGGTTTTTTCCTTATCTGAACATAAGCAGTTAAGCCATGGGGTCCCTAGATTTCACCCAAGGGCTGGAGCAGGTGTGCCTATGCAGTGTGGAGAGAACAAAGTTAGTTTTGAAGAACTCTGTGAGTGCAGCTTGTTTATTCACAGTCAAAACAGCAGTAACTGGGATTACAGAAAATAGTCCTTTAACACCAAAGTAAATTAGTAGAAACATGGTAAATATCATGTTCAAAAAGCAATTTGAAATATTACTTGAAAGAATATTCCTTTTTTTCTCAGAAATGTAAATCTCTAGTGTGTATTAAACTTTAGCTTTTGTGCTAGAAAATTCCAGAATTGCTTAATTCTGGAAACAATATTTCACAATTGTGTGTACTTTATTTAATAATTGTTGGCAATCATGCAGTAAAAATAAAAATAATTATAATATAAAAATTATCCAGTTAAGTTGGTAATACTAGTAAAATAAAAAATTAAAACTGATAATATCAAAATCATCTAGTAGAAATTATGTATTTTAATATTTTAACTTGTTTGCTCTTCATTACAATATTATTAACATTCATTCTCATTTTAGGAAGTGATGTTTGGAGACACTGAGTGACTTGACTAAGTCATAGACCTAGAATGTGGAAAGTTTCACTCCAGGGACCACAGTGTACAAAAGAAATTTGTGCACCTTATGAAATTTTTCTTGATTTTGGAGATAGGTATGTAAAGTGATCCTAGCAGCATATTATGGCAGGAATATAGAAGGGTGGTGGGATGGTCTTGCTTGCAAAGTTTCAGTAGGATTCCTGAGCCGAGAGATGTCTGTCTGGTCAAATGTTTATTGGCATCAAATGGTAGAGATTGTGCCAACATGAGGGAGCAGATGGCAGCAATTTCTAGTACTGGACAAAGGGGGGAAGGAAGAGCTGTAGACATAATGAGAGTGAATGAGGGTGAGAAAAGCTAATGCACAAAAATGAGCAGACTGCAGGGCTGTGCCAGCCATGTTCCCTAGAGAGAGCTTAGCATTTTCTAATCCTTATTCACTGTGGCTGGCACAGCATTATTTTATAGATTTCTGGACGATAGATTCACCTGTGTGGTTTGCATAACTGTGGTTCCATGGGAGTGAGAAGCATGGGCCACGTGTTTATGGGGAGATGGAAGTTCTGATCAGGATACCCCAGCCCAGGGAGGGGTGCCCTAGCAGACCTCTGAGTAATCACCTGTTTGGAATATACAGCAATCCATATTGGCCCTGGAAATAATGGTTTCTGATCTTCCTCATTTATATCTTCTTTTTTTTTCTTGAATATATTGTCTAGAGGCTCATTGATTATACTGATTTTAATTGACAAGTAATCACACATACTTATAGGGCACAATGGGCCAAATGTAATGTTATGATATAGTATGTCAGATCAATTAATATTTCCTACCCATTGCTTCACATACTTATTACTTTTTTCTAAGAAAATTTAAACTCTACTTTTTAGCAATTTTGAAATACACAATATTCCCTATATTAATTAGCTTTTCTCTGAACCTGACAAGAAAAACTTAGAGGAAGAAAAGTTTATTTGGGTTCTGCCATCTCCTTCACTGGGCCCAGGGTGAGGTAGAATATCATGGTGCAAGGGCATGGCAGAGGAAAGCTGTTCAGCCCATGGCAGGCAAGAAGTATAGAGAACCAGGTGTGGTGGTACATACCTGTAATCCCAGAAGCTCCAGAGGCTGAGTCAGGAGGGCAGACGGTTTGCAAGTTCAAAGCCAGCCTCAGCAACATAGCAGGGCCCTAAGCAATTTAGTGAGACCCTGTGTCAAAATAAAAGTAGGATTAGGATGTTGCTCAGTGGTTTGGCACCCTGGGTTCAATCTCTGATCCAAATAAATAAATAAATAAAAGGGAGGGGGAGAGAGAGAGGGAGAGAATGAGAATAAGAATGAATGAATGAGAACATACACTGGAGCCTGATATAATGTTTCTTGGAGAGAGAGAGGGAAGGAGGGAGGGAGGGGGGAGAGAGAGAGAGAGAGAGAGAGCGCGCGAATGAATGAGAACACACTGGACCCTGACATAATGTTTCTTAATGTTACGTTATGCCCTCAAAAGACACACCTCCAGGGACCTACTTTCTCCCACCACACCCACCTGTCTATAGTTAGCACTCAGTGGTTCATTCAAATTATTAATTCATCTAAAGGAACAGTCTACCTGTAAGGTTTTACAGATCTCCTAATTCAATCTTTTCACCTCTGAATATTCTGCATTACCTAACACATGTGGTTTGGAGAGGACATTCCTAGATCCAAACCATGATAATCATCATTCTTTACTGGACTTTATAAAAAGACTTCCCCACCCTTTGATTTTCTGCTGTTTGAGTATAATATGTGAATGTTTTTCGTTTGTTTAGTTTTGCTTTGTATTTCCCCTGCTTGGTGAGGGAAGGTGTTACTAGCCCTAGGATTAGATCTCAGTCTTTTAGTGAGTGTGGGCTCTTGAAAGGAGCTGCCTCGGTTTCCCTCATTTTCCCCACTCTGATGGGACAAGAGCTCTGGGGGCAGCTGTAGTTGGATGCTTTTCTCTCTCATATGGAAGAGCAGTGGGAGCTGGTGTTAAGCGTGTCTCCTCCTCCAGGTGCAGGGCTAGAGCAGGCTGAGTGTGGTAGTTCCCTTATCTTGGGTCATTTAGGGTCTGACGAAATCTCAGTAGGCTATTCTTTTGTAAAATAGTTTCTCCTAAGGTTGGAACTTCTCAAGAAGAACAGAATGCTTTGGTGCCCTGTGAGATCTTGGTTGAGATCCTGGAGGTAAAACTCTCTTAAGTATGAGGAGACCTGGGTGTCTGTGTCAGCCTTTCCACACTGAGTTTCCAGCTATTGTTCACTTCTAGTTCAGGGTTTCCTAGTTCAGTACTGCTTCCCAAAGAAGCTTCTGCTCATGGGTTTTCCACTCCAAGAAGTTAGGAATCTCTGAATGTGCCTTTCTGATTCTTTAATTTTGGGGTATAGGGATTGGTCCTGGGATCCAGTTTCTTTGAATCTAAGACTTGTTGATTTTTCAATTTGTTTACCTTTTTTTTTTTAATATGTTATGAGGACAGAGTGTTGATTTCTAAGATCCTTACATGATGAAGAACCCGAAAGAGGATCCCCTAGCCTGATTCGTGCATTGTTTATTCCATCTTCCACTATGGCCCTGACCATCTTAGGCACATCCGGCCCATATGAGGGAATTGTAGTAGACAGCTACACTGATGACCCCCCCAGTGAATCACATCTCCCAGTAAACGCCCACACCCTGTGTGGTTCCTTGTTGCAGTGACTTCAGGCTTGGCCATATGATTTGCTTTGGGAAATGGGCCTTTGTTGAGTGAATGCAGGAGGGGCTAGAAAAGAGCTTACAAGTTGGGCTTGCTTTCTTAGAAACTGCTTTTGTTTGTGGAAGCTCATTCTGACCCCATGGAGAATGAGTGGTCCTCGGGTCCAATTAATCACACACTCGTATTGACATTACTTGTGACTCTGAAAGTTGGTAAGCTTTCTACCCTATGGGAGAAGTTTTGCTTTAAAATTTCTGGATTCTGATTTTACTTTATAGACTACCATATGAAGTGTAGGCAGCTAGTGCTTTATGGAATAGGAAAAACAGCATCATTAAAAAGTCTAGGGGTGAGGCAGAAAAGGGAGTTCAGAGAAAATGACAATTGCTATTTTTATAAAAGAAAGGAATTAACTTCTGAAACTCACTGAATGCAGCCATCTTAAATACTATCAAATTAATATTAAATATTTTTTCTTGAGCTCTTTCAAAGCATATCATAATTGGGGTTTTATTGTAAAACTTACATAAGATAAAAACCAACAGTGAGTGCTGTCTCATAGAAAGCATAAAAGGGGAACAGAAAAAAAAAGAGAATTGTATCACTGTGTTGTGCCCTAGAGGCTGTAGGAAGGCTCTGGCAGAGGTGGGAGTAACTGTAGGCCATGTCTTCATTCCCAACAGTTCAGGATTCAAATGTGAATTCAATTTTGAAACACTGTGCTAATATCTCCCTACTGTACTTACTAAAGCAACTTGGGCTCCAGCAAAAGCACTGTGATCATTCAAGCTGGGGCTCTGGGTCCTCTTCAGTACATGGTACTTGCTTCTTCTCGCTGTTTTTTTCTGAATGAGGAAGACCCATCGTGGATATTTGTTTGGGTATTCCTCCTGAAATTTGGTCACTACTGAGAAGGTTTTAGTGGAGTTTTGAAAAAGATACTTACCAGCTCTAAGAACTATGAAATGGACATCTAATGACTTCATGAACAGACTCATGAGCACCACTTTAAATCTCAGGTTTCACTCTGGAAGTTTGGATTTTCAGTCCAATGAAGGTATTGGACTGACTCAGAGGAAACCCACAGGCCCCCCACCCAGGCACCAGCCAGCAGACCTCCCAAGTGGTTTCTACTCTGCTCACACCCATCACTCATCATTCAATCCCCAGCATCATCAGCAGCAAAGAACTGGTAGCCCAGAACTTTCCCAATGGGACAAGAGTTTCTGGCAGCAGCCCAGACAGCACTGACAAGGGGAGGTCACAAAGCTCAGATTGTTGAGGGGGGATGTGTGCTTCCTGATGTGAAATAGGCCAACAGTTCCCAGCTGGTACACAGAGAGAGGCTGCCACAGGTCCCACAGGAAGCCAGAGCTGGGAGGGACCGTCCCGTCGGTGACAGCAGAGTTCTATTCTGGACCAGAAACCAGGAGTGAAGGTGGTCAGGGCATGGCTTCTGCCAAGGCCTCATACACCCAGGCCTCTCACTCTCAAGGACATGGGCTGGGCCTTGTAACCTGGAGGGCCTTTGCTAAGTGGCCAGACCTGAGCTGAGAGCAGGCCTTGAACCTGCACCCAGGGGAGACTGGTGGTTGTGAAGGCCCTGGGAAGGGTAATGCTGGTGGAGCAGCTTGGGGTTAGCATGGTCTGATGATTGCTTGGTTCTTGGCCCCAGTGAGGCTGTGGGCCTGGATGTGTCCCCTGTGGTCAGTCAGTGCCACCTGGGGGAGATAGCTGGTCCCTCACTTTGGTGGGCCATAGCAGCAGAGCAGGGGAGGGGTTGAGAGGACCTTAGTGGAGCCCTGTGGATGGTGGCAGCTGTATCCTACAGGCACTGCATCCCTTGGGCACACCCCTGCTGGAGATGATTGAGCCCCATGGGAAGCTGGGGCGAGAATTACTTTGTAAGCTATAACTGGGGCAGGGGCTGGCTCAGTGATAGGGTGCTCTCCTGTCATGCACGAAGCCCTGGATTCCATCCCTAGTTCCTTCCCCTGCAAAAAGCTGGAATCACCCTGGGAAAACTAGAGGAAGACTATGGCTTGCATTTTCCTTCCCAAGGCAGGAGGTCGGATTCACGCCCAGGTCACTCCTTGTATATCCCTGGCTTTGCTCTTGTCTTCTATCTCCGCCTTCCACAAGCCTTTTTTTTCTCTCCAGGCCTCACCAATGTTTTGGACTCCCTTGTCTCCTTCTATTCAGTCATCAGCAGCTTTGGGCAGTAAGTGACCACGTCCTTCCTTCTCTGTTCCTTCGGGAGGGACCAGCTGAAGAACCCCTTTCCCCACCTGGGTGCTTTGCCCACATTGGACTCCTTTCTCATTCTCCCTGTCGCAGTCTACCTGGCCTCCTGACTACCCCTGGTCAGTTGTGACTAAGTCTGCAGTGTGGTGGAGGTGGGGCTCATGCCTGCCCCTTAGGATGGCATCTGAGCTTCCTGCGCTGTGCTTAGTGCTGGAAAATTCCCAGCACAGGCAGGTTCTCCAAGCATGGTGATGCCTAAGTTAATTCCCCAAAGTGGAGGCAGGAGGACTGAGGCTCTGCCCTGATGAGTTGGCCTGGGGGCCAAGCCTAGACCCCTCAGGCTGTCCTTGAGTAGTGGGGCAGAAGACAAAACAGGGGGCCTCAAGAGCACTCAGGCTTTCTGGGGTGTTCTTGGTAATGGAATCCGGGTGGTCTGAGCACAGCTCTCCCTCACTTCCTCCCCCAGCCTAGGCACCCTGGGAAGATCAGTCTCTGCCTGCAGATGGAGGCCTCCCCTTCCCCTCCAGGGCTTCCAGGGATCAACATGTCTATCTGTTCACTTGCAAGACAGCCATGAATGTCCAGTTGGGGTGTGTACCCCAGCAGGGGGGCTGGTGACTGGGGTGCACACCCCCCATATTTCCCTATGTCCCTGAAGTTATGAGGAGGAGGGAGGCAGCCTGCAGTTGAAGGGGTGTCCTGCTTAGCAGGCCACAGAGTCTGCTGCTGTGCACGGCTCTCTCTGTCTCTGTGGCCGTGCGGGTGCAGGGTGTCAGAGCTTGTTCCCTACCCTCCTGGGGGAGGCTGTGTGGCCTTCCGGCCAGGACCCTGGCCCCTGAGTGATGCCCACTCCCCAGGTGTGCCGGTTTGTCACTGGACTACATGACCTTGCTTTTCTGCCACATCCCGAGGCTCTGCTGGCTTCTGTCATCACCATGGCTGTGCCCCACTGTTTGATACCCCCCTGTTTGGGACACTCTGGCATGTTAAGAATATATATATATATATGGGCCAGATGACAATGGCCACATCTGTCATCCCAGCCACTTGAGAGGCTCTGGCAAGTAGGAGAGCAGCTGGGCAAATTTAGCAGGATCCTCTCTCAAAGTAGAAAGGGCTGGGGTGCGGCTCAGTGGGAGAGCCCTTGCCTAGGCTGTGTGAGACCCTGGGTGGCAATTCCCAGTGCTGAAAAGAAAAATATGTGCTGGTCCAAAAGCTGAGAACACTGTAGCACTGTGTTTGCAAAGCCTGAGGGCACCCTTAACCACTCATCCCCACAAATCCCTTCTGTTTTGCTTCCTGAAGAAGTGTAAGAACTTGTGCAGATCATGAGGCTTTCTTCCCGTGGCCCCAGGGAGTCAATGAAAGTGGTGGCTATTTTATTGTGTCCCAGGGCTTCCCTGCACATTTTATCTTTAGAGTAGCCTTGGAACGTGTTGACATTCTGTGTGCAATATAAGGCTCTCCTGAGGGAAACTGAGGCTCGTGAAACACTTCTGAGTCACATATGTCAGGGGGACTCTGGGACTGCAGTTGGCCCTCAGGACACTTCCTCAGAGAAGGAGACCTGCAAGTCTGGGGGTTTGTGGTCCCCACATACCCATCTCCTGGGTCCCTTGAATGCCCCCTTGACAGCCCTGCTGCTTCCCTCCCTCCAAGATCAAACTTGAGGGAAGGCCCAGGAGGGTTCTGCCTGAACCTCAGGCACAAAGAGGTCTTCCTCTGTCCAACACCTGTGTTCCAGCAGTGGCCTGTGGCTGCTGCCCCTGAGGCTCCAGAATGGAGGCCTCGGGCTGCATTGTGCCCATGACCACCATTGCTCCACGTGTGAGGATCAGAAGCCTGTCCTGCTGAATGTAGGGTGCATCGGGCTCAGGTGGTAGCAGAGCCTGGGAACAGAGGCGACTCTCAGCAGACCTCTCCCAGGGCTGGACCTGATACCATTCTGCATCATGTTCCTGCTGTGCTTCTGGGAGGTCCAGTACAGCGTCCTGGCTGGAACTCTGGTGTCCTCACTCATCCTCCTGCACTCTGTAGTCAGGCCCAAGAGCCAGGTGCTGGTCAGGGGTGGGCACTCAATGGTGGGACTCCTTGGCCAGGCTGTCCTGGTGTCTGAGTTCATGGGGCACTGCGGTTACCGCTAAAGGTGACATCCTCTTGTTGTACACCACAGCAGTCTCCACAGTGCCTGGCCTCCTGCCAGCACCCCTGCTGTTCCTTCAGCCCACTTCCAGCTTGGGACAGGCCAGGCCTGGCAGAGGCTGGGTCCAACCTGCCTCCAGGACTCAATCCCTTCCCTCTGCCTTCCCAAGGGCCCCATTCTTGTCCTACATCTGGCCAGTGGCCTGCACTTCCCTGCCATCGAAGCCCTGGGGAGGCAATGTTGAACTGGCCTGGGAAGGTGTGTGGCTGGGCTGAGGTCACTGTGAGCTCCCACTTCCCTCTGTTCCACGGCTCTCTATTCTCCCACCCTGGCTTTCAGGACCGGAGGCCAAGCCCTAGCCATCAGGGAGACACTCGCCTGCTTGCACATTAATGAGGCTGACACACAGAAGGTCCCCAGTGGGTAATGAGCCCCATACCACCCTGACTGTGCCTCAACATGGACCACAGTGTCCCAAGCATGGCTCTCCCTGCCCGTCAGGGACAAGTGAGTCCTGTCACCCTGACATCCTCACTGGGTGTGACAGAGTGGCCTGCCCCCCAGGATCCCCATGGCACTGAGCTGTCCTGGAGTGCACACATCTGCAGCATCGACTACACCATGGTGCTGGGGCTCGGCGACCTCCTGGAGGACTTCCACAAGAAGCCAGCAGCACCCAGCAGGGAGATGGACCACACGGGAGGATGACCTGCAGAGACTCAGGCAGAGCCCTCCGGAGTCAAGGATGCTGACCCATGTGGCCAACCCCTTCCTGGCACTAGACACTGTGGGTTGTGTTTGCAGAGCACTCCTCCTGGTGGTCTTTGGAGACTGTTCATCTAGAGATCTCTCCCCTGGCAGCAGCCACACACACACCCCTCCCCGCCCCGGGCAGGCTGCCCTCCCTTGACCTACATGTGTGGAGGTGAAATAACCCTCTCCAGATACGGGCTTGTGCAGCCAGGCTGCCCACCCTGTGTGTCGAGCAGGAGGGCCTGTTTCCTGGACTGGAGAATGTCTGTCCCCAGGTGCCAATGATCTGTGCTCTACTAACTGCTGACCCGAAGGGGTTCTAGTACTTCTCCATCCTGGAGGAGGCAGGTGTGTGCAGCATTCGACTTAACTGTCCTGCGATCCTCTTTCCTACCACACTTTGTAGTCTCTTTGGGGTCAGCCTCTGACACAGTTGGGGAGTAGGCAATAGCCTTTGATTCCATTGCACAAACTGAACCACCCTTACTTCTGCTTTTTTAGAGCTTGAAAAACTTGTGTCTTTGGCAGAGAAATAACTGCAGCAAGACCCAGGTACTCAGCCCTACAACAGCTGTAAAGACCCCGTCCCAGAACTAAAGAGATCCCTGTGAAGAGCTCGATCAGACCCTCAGTGGGTGTCTGGTGTTGAAGATTCTCCCAGAAGGTCCCTGTCACTGTGATTTGATACCAGATGCCACCTGATAGACACACTGGCCCAATGGAGCAGAGAAAGGGCTGCAAGGTGTTCGAAGAAGAAAAGGGAGCCCAGGCGAGGCCCAGGTAGGACTCTAGTGTTCTTTGGGACAACTGGAAAACCTGCATGTCCCCTGGGCATGGACATTTGGGGAGAGGGGCTTGGCAAGAGCCTATCAGATTAACAGACCAAGTGACAGAGAAAGGAACAGGGTTTCACAGCTAGGTGGGCGAGGTGTGCTGTACCCAGCACCTGCCCAGATCTACACTGAGCTCCAGCAGGGAGGAGTCTCAGAGATGTCAATCTTGATGCAGCATCCATGCTGTGGCTGGGGAGGACACCAAGGTGAGCCAAATAACTTCAAGTCTGTTTCAAAAGAATTCTGTTTTTTTTTTTAATTGAAGTAATAGCTTTGGGTTTTTGTAAAAATCATAAACACCTATTGTAAAAAAATGCAGAAAACCACTCCCCCGCCCCCCTCCACTCTGTGACCACCCCAGAACTTCCTGCTCCCTGGATTACACATATCTGTCAGAGTGTGGACACACTCCTGGCTCCACGTGCTCCATTCATGGTGCTCTGTGACCTGCATTTTCATGTATCATTTGCTGTGAATTACTGTGACAATAAACAGTGTCAGAATAAATGGTTTTTAATATCTGTATCTGTATTATAATGTCCTCAGCGAGCTCTCTGTTGAATAGGTACATGGATTATGGACTGAATTGTTTGCCCTGAAATTCATCATTTTGTTTTGTTTTTTTGGGGGGTGGGGGTTGGTGGTACCAGGGATTGAACCCAGGGGTGCTGAGCCACAGCCTAGCCCTTTGTGTTGATTTTTTGAAATTTTGAGACAGAGTCTGGCTAAGTTTGGACCAGTCACGCCTGGGGAATTTGGATTGAAGTGAAATTTTATAATATTGCCCTCCCCCTTTTCTGTGGTGCTGGGGATTGAACCAAGGCCTTGTGTGTGCCAGGTGAGTGCTCTACCACTGAGCTTATCTACCTCCTTAGTAGCTGGCATTACCAGGGCATACCATTGTGTATGGCTTAAAATTAACCTCTTTAAGTAACACTCTGGGGACCCTCAGCTCATAATGTTGCCCTCTGTTTACATCTGATTTTTTTTCATCAACCCAAACTAGAGACTCATTGCTACTATACAGCTACCTCAGATTCCAGGCTCCCCCAGGTAACCACAGTTCTAGCAAATGCACAGCCCAGGTGCTATGGCTGAGCTGCACTGCAGCCTCCCTCTTTCTACCCTCAGGCAGCCATGAGGGTAAATCAGTGCCTTTCAATGATTTTAGCAGATGACCCAAAAGGGGAAACACTTTCCAATATTGAAGAAACCAAATCAGATTTTACCCTCCACAGCCCAGCTGCATCAGGGCAGTGTGACAGGTGGCCAAGAGCTTAGCTCAGTCACCCAAAACTGGGCTGTGAGACAGGTTTCCTGAGAAGTGCTACAGAAGGTCCCATGGTGCTTCTTCAGGGAATAGTGTTCCATCTCCATAGCACCTTTCCCTCTCCAGGGTGCTCTGGTGGGCACCAGTTTCCCCAGGGAAGGGTTGTGTGCATTACCAGCAGATCAGCTTAGCTGACTTCTCCCACTGTGTGATCAGAACCCGTGGAACTAGTGAGCATGCGAGAAAGTAGCTTTCTACAGATAACCGACTTGCCCTGATTCCCAGAAAGTGTGAGAGAATTCCAGTGCCCGTGGGATAATATGTACTCTGGACATTCTGTCCCAGGGCCTTGACATGACTAGGTCCCTTTGAACAGAGAGGAGGACTTAAGGGACATGGTGCTTAACTATCCTGTTTTTCCAGGAATGACACATAGGTCAAAGAAAGCTGGCATTGCAAAGGAGGGAAGCCTTCCAGGGACTCTGCAGAGAGTGTCCCCCTCCTGTTGTTTTCAAGGCTGCCACAGAACTAGAGGGTGATCCAAGTCAAAATGCTACAGAAGTCACTGAGGCTGGCTTTGAACTTGCGATCTTCCTGCCTCAGCCTCCCCAGCTGCTGGGATTACAGGTATGCACCACTGCACCTGAATTCTCTTTTGATAGATGGTCTCTAAATCGCCTCAGATTTTTCTTAAATAAATTCTCCCATTGCTGTCACCTCTGGTGAATTTCCAGAATTCTTCTGAAATTTCAGTGTCCCTTATGTGGCCCTTAAGGACTCTAGATGTGAGCAAGCAAAGGCTTTTAAGAGGGAGAGAAGAAGGAAAACCTTTAGGGTAGAGGAGGAATCAGGAGGAGGGAGCATGGGAAGGAGTGGGAAGATATGGAGATGAGGTTGGCCAAGTTATGTTTCCCTGTATGTACAAATTCACCACTATTGAAACTCACCATCCTGTATAATTAATGTACACCAATAAAAAAAGTTTAAAAACAAAATTTCCAGAATTCTTGAAAAGCTGATTGGAGCTTTTTGATTTTCTTTGATGTCTCTGCAGTCCATATTTAAGAAATGAATGAAAAACCATGATAAGACCCCTGTGAGGGAGGACAGTGACCCACTAGCTAGCCATGCAATTCAGTTAAGGCTGGCAACCAACACTAAAAGGATAGAACTAGTCCTGGGCACAGGGACCCACCTGTAATCCCAGCCACTCTGGGAAGCTGAGGTGGGAGGATCAAGGACAGCCTGGGCAGCTTAGTGAACCCTGGTCTCAAAAAGGACTGGGATGCTCAGTGGTGGAGGGCTTGCCTAACACGTAAGATCCTTGTTCCATCCCCAGTACCTCAAACAAACCAACAAAAAACTGGAAATAACCCCTGTGTCCATCAGCAGGGGACCAGCACTTCATGTTAGGGATGAAAGGAAACAAAGAGGGCTGGGCCCTCCCTGGAAACTGAGGCAGGGTGAAGGGTTCCTGGGATCAGGTCAGAAATACTCAGGCACAGTGCTCAGAGTTACAGGCATGCATTGATTAGAAGGGACAGGAACGGGGAAAAGAGGACAGTCTCAAGGGATGTTAGAAATATCAATCACAGGAAAGCAGGGAGCTGAAACTCAAAACTTCAGTTCTGTGTTCTGACAAAAGAAGGTTTAAAGTCAGACACCAAAGTCATGCAAAAGAACTATAGTATAAGTGAAAGTGAGATGAAAGTAAAGTTAAATCAAACAAAGGAGACAACACTGCCTCCAGATTAATTACTGTTGGATGTTCACCAGGAGAACTGGGCCCGTGGGATCCAATTAAGGCTACATTTGGAAATAGACCATCAGCCTTTCTATTTCTCTGGGTCCTTTCAGAGAGGAGAGGGATTATGCGCCTATCTGGCCCCTTAGTTTTATTGGTGGTCCCAGTGAAACTGGTGTTTTGAGATGAGACTAGTCCCATGCCTGGCCAATTTTCTTTTGGGTTCTTATCTTGCCAATTAGAAAAATACAATTCAGGGATCAGCCAGGCATGGTGGTGCACACCTATAATCCCAGCAATGTAGGAGGCAGAGATAGGATGATCACAAGTTCAAAGTCAGCTTCAGAAACTCAGGCCCTGAGCAACTTAGCAGGACCCTTTCACAAAATTTTAAAAATTAAAAGATAGGCTGGGATGTGGGGATGTGGCTTAGTGGTTAAGCACCCCTGGGTTCAATCCCCTATACCAAAAAGAAAGAAAGAAATAGGTCTTGATGGTGCCTATTAATATTTCTAGCAGTTAGTGTGCTGTGTAGTCTCTGCCTCTGAAGGAGGGACCCATTCCCTGACCATAATCTACTCTATTCACCAGGAAGCTTCCGGAGTCCTGCCCAAGTCCACCTCCTCTTGACTTTTGATTGACAGCTTGGGGGCTGTATGACTGCCTCCAAGAGGAAGGTGTGGTGCTCGGGGGTAAGAGGTTTTAAGAAACAGTCCCCTTGTTTTTGTCTCAATTCCCCTTCCCCTTAATTGATTCATTACCCTTTGAATAGCCCCCATCCTGTTTTGTGAGGGTCTTGGCTCTCTGGGTGATTGGGGGTTGTGGCATAGTCTGGGTATATGGGTGGGGGGGTCCTGGAGACTGGGTTACAGGAGCCAATGAAGACGTGGTCCTGAAGGCAGCTTTTCTTAACCAAGGCTGCGGGATTTCTAACATTCTCAGACCCCACCTCCCAGGGCTCGTCTGTCAGAGAGGTCTGTCTGTGGCTGAGGGTCAACCTCCCTGTCTCCTGAGCACCCACCTGACCCTGGCACTACCCTGGCACAGGAGTCTCAGATACATTTTGCCGAAATAAACCACACAGGAAACAGACAGTGTCCTGGGGTTCTGGTAGGTACAGTTGTAAACCAGGCGAAGTCATCCATAGCCACAGGAGACTGGCTTGCTGGGGCAGGCTGCAGGCTGGAGCCTGCCAGGGCCTCGGAAGCCATCCTGGAGCCAGGCGACTGTCCTGTATCTTGACTGGCTGGTTATCGTGTGTGGGGTGTGTTTCTCAAAATGCACTGAACCTGAAGTTAAAACAGGCAATTCATTAACTATAAACTATAGATCAATGAAGTTGATTTAATAAAGAAAAAAATGAATAAAAGAAAGCCAAGCACAGTGTTGCACGCCCACAATCCCAGAGCCTTCAGAGGCTGCGGCAGAAGGATCACAAGTTCAAAGCCAGCTTCAACAACTTAGCAAGCCTTGCTTAAAGTAAAAGGTAATTAAAAAGGCCTGAAGATGCAGTTCAATAGTAGAGGCCCTGTGTTCATCCTCAGTACCAAAAGAAAAAAAGAAAAGAATAATAAGAGAGAATTACCTACATAAGCCAGATACAATACATGGTGCATGGACCATAAAGTATGACCTCTTAAGGTCATACCAGGTTTATGCCTGGTGATTTCTGAGCCCCTTCCCCACCACCCCCACTCCCTCCTTTCCTAACACTGAATCCTCAAAGTCCTTCAGTTACATTCTTCTCAGTGGCCCCTCCTATGCAGCTTAGGGGCTGCTTTTGTTTTGTTTTGTTTTTGGTTCCAGAGATTGAACTCAGGGATGCTTAAACACTGAGCCACATCTCCAGGCCTCTTAATTTTTTATTTTAAGACAGGACCTCACTAAGTTGCTGAGCTTGCCAGCCTCCTGCCTCAGCCTCCTGCCTCAGCCTCCCAAATCACTGGAATTGTAGGCAACTGCCCCTGTGCCCAGTGGGACTGCTTTTATCATTAGGTTTTGACACTCATCAGTGGCCTTTTGAATTTTCAAACTCTTAGCCAAATGTTTTTGCTTGCATCAGTAACCTGCAAGTAAGTGCAGCGAAGGCCCCGCTGAATCTCCCAACCACTGGAGGTCAGAGTTCATCACATCAGGTACTTTCCTCCAAGAAGATGTATTGCTCTGGTGCTGGTGCTGGAAAGGAGAGGTGGAGGGAAGTCGTCAAGTCCCACCGACCACACTAAGGAGCAACGAAGCCAAAAAGAGCAAGATGGGGAAGCCCCTGGGGCCCTGGATGATTTCAGTGTTGTGGTCGTGGGCCCTTGTGATGCTGTAAGAGCTCTCCACCAGCTGCCACCCTCCCGTTGGTGGATCTGAGCCTGTGGTAGGCAATGCATTCTGGGCTGATGCAGGACTATTTCAGCCTGCACTGTTCTAACCCAGGCAAAGATTGACACTCGGACATTTGTTATTCTAAGAAG